ATGGAATCCCAAATTTTTACCATTAAATAAATAAATATTATTTAAATAAAACTAAATCAGAGTTATAGAGGATATTGAAATATGAGATATTAATCATTTGAAAAATATTATAGAAAAGGGCAAAAAATGTTATTTCACAAGATTATGGATCGTTTGTCATGGCCAACAATGCATTCATCAAGACAAATCACACTGAGGCTAATTTGGTTTACATAATAGTTAGCATTATATATATAAATGGCAGGGGTAATTTGCTCAAAATTTTAAAGTTCAAGGTTTAGGATGCCACTCATGTAAGAGTTTAAGGTCTGTAACTAATTAACAATAACACATAAGCATTTAAATGGGGCCCATGATGAACAGCAATGGTGTTAAAAAAAGGGAGAATGACAATTAAGGACCTGCTAAGAATATTAATCCCAATTACAGACTGTGAAATTTTAAAATCATAGTTAAGGACCATGGTCCTTAATTGTGATAAAAAAAATATAATTTGTGAAGTGGGATTCACTAATGCGACTTGAGAATTCACTAACCCAACTTGAAAAAATTACTAACATATATTGTGAAAACATGAAACCTCACTTGAAAATGGAATGTTTAACAAAAAGCGCCACTTGAGAATTCACTAATTAGACTTGAAAAAATTTCTAACGTATATTGTGAAAAAATGAAACCCCACTTGAGAATCATTAATAAAAAGTGACTTATCCAAATTGGTGTTTTTTATTAAACAATTGATTCCCAAGTGAAGTTTTATGTTTTCACAATGTACGTTAGAAATTTTTTCAAGTCTAGTTAGTGAATTCTCAAGCGGCGCTTTTTGTTAAACATTCTATTTCCAAGTGGGGTTTTATGTTTCACAATATACGTTACAAATTTTCTCAAGTTGGATTAGTGAATTCTCAAGTGGCAATAATGAATCCCACCTCACAAATTACATTTTTTTTAATCACAATTAAGGACCATGGTCCTTAACTAGGATTTCAAAATTTTAAGGTCCGTAATTGAAATTAATATTCTTAGTAGGTCTTTAATTGTCGTTCTCCCTTAAAAAAATATAATGATAGGGTTTTAATTTGCTATAAATTTAAAAGTTTAGATTTTATTTTGTACATTTTAAAAGTTTAGAATACATTGTGCTTTTCGAGATCAATTTTACTCATTAATCCAAAAATAAAATACAAAAAAAAATGAGAGTAGTACAAGTAATTCCTGTCTTTTTATACTGAACATGAAATCCCATCATTAAAAGAAAAGCTCCAAAGGCCGCAAAGGTTTAAAGTAGCATATCACGACTAATTTCCAAGTTTGGGAGATGGGAGTCTGCGACTGCAAGCGGCTTCAAATTGATAAGGAACGACTTCAAGACATTGTAGAAGGCCCTAACCTTCTCCATATTGGGTGAGCGTCATAGAAGAAAGAAGGAGGAGGACGAAGGCAGACAAAGAAGATAGACAAAATGATTCAAAACTTGAAGCTGTGGGTTTGTCTTGCTAAGATTGTCACCGTTTGTTGAGCAAAGAAGAACATAGGTGGCCATTGGTTGAGCAAAGAAGACGGCTTGCAAGAAGCCAATATTAGGATTATACAATAGGCTGGAAAGGTAGCTTAAAGGGCTGTTACCAACCCATCCTATTTTGCACAAAATGGGATGGGCTAGACCATACCTGTATGTGGCCCATTTTAACCAGTTTGAAAATGGGCTAGGTAAGCCCATATGAGTTTGGGTAGGTTGCACCAACCCATTTTGTGCACTACATTGTTTTTTTTTTGGTAGAAAAACTCATTACATTATAACATTCAAATTAAATTCTAGAATCATTACCAAACAAAATTCTAGAATGAAGATTCCAGAATGGAGTAATCTTCAAAAAGAAACCAATGTACTCAGGTAACCATGATCAAATCATGAATGAAAGAGGATAACATTCAAATTAATCATACAATCGAGGGAAAAACATTATCAAAATTCAACAAGCACCATTTATCACATGTTCATATCAATAATGGCTGCATAGAGAAAGCAAATTCAAGACCCGAAATCCTAATATGTCAAATTCCCCAAAACCATAAATCTCTAACCGTTAAACTTGTACAGAGTCATGCCCTACCGCCTTAAGGCCTACACAACATAGATGGTCGTCACAGTCTTGTGATGAGTGTGCTTGGTGTTAGTAACAGCTTCTTAAACCATGTTCTCAAGATTCAAGAAAGATCTTGAGCAAACCACAGGTTTCATATTTGAGTGCAAAGGTGACCTCCGAAGTTCAAATTAAAACATAGATGTTTCAATTAATATCCTTGCTGAATTAATTTTAACAATCATACAATAAATTAATCATATAATTTATTTAAGAAAGTCATAATATCTATAAGTGATCAATATTTTCTTTGTAAACTCTATTAAAATGCAAAGCTTTAAACTAATTTACTCAATTACTCAAAACTTTGTTTAAAACTCCTCCATTATGGGTTGGGTCAATCTGTATCTAGATTCATATGCTGGACATCTGAGTATATCACATCATTTGCCTAGCCAATATATATTTTTTGTAGGGTGGGTTTTTCTACTCTGTTTTTTTTTCACTACCTCTTCACTGCAAATTTAAATCATTCAAATTTAATTTATATTTAAAAATTATTAAATTCAAATTTTAAATTTAATTTAACGATTCAGATCGGTACTGATTTTTCCTTTTCTCTCATCTGCGGGGAAGAAAATCCAAGTCCTATTTTTTGCTTGGTATTGTATGTTTGATGTGAAATCTATAGTGGGGATCTAAAAGCTTATTTGGATAATTCTAAAAAATACATTTAAATTATATTTAAAATGTATTTTTGTTAAATCTAATAAATGGTTGATTTTTAAAATATACATTTGTTAAATATAAATTAAAAATCAAACACACGTTAAATATTCATTAAATGCCATAATTATACCCATAGTAAAAATGGGGTAGTTGATATGTAAAGTGAGGAATATAAGTGAGCCCAGCTCTTATGGGTCCAACCCTTAAGGATATGAGCATAAAAGCTTGATTTTTTATTTTTAGTCTTATTTCTCAAGCTTAACCCTTATGTGGAGGGCTCAAGGTTGTGCCCGTAAGCTCTTTTTTTAAAAAATAAGATGAATTTAAATATTATAAATTAATTAAATATTTTAAAATTAAAAAATTAAAAATTCTCATAATTTTTTAGAAATTAAACAACACACATTTAGAAATCTAGTAATAAAACTCAAATCTTGGTTAAAATAGTTTATTTTTTATAAATACGCAAACATAATAATTATAGAAAAATAAAAAATATCAAAAATTTTATACTATACACTAATGTTTATTAAATTATATTAAATTAATTTTAAAATGAATTAAAATTAATAATATTATAATGTGTGTAGAATCAGATGAACAGGTTATTGATTTCAAACACGTGTTCTATCAAAAAATAATAATAATATAATAGAGCTTGAAGGGACGCACGGGTTTAAACACTTTTTTATAAGATTTATCAAGATCAAGCCCTCAAATTAATTATTTTAAAAAAAATTATTTTTAAAATTTTAATTTTTATTTAAACAGAATTTTTAAATTTGAGTTTTTAAACCTTGACCTTTATTTTCAGCTCCATTGATATGTTGGCAAAGGAAGGATTTTCCTGCGTTGGTCAAAAAATTAGAAGGGTTTTCCTGTTCAGACTCTGTTCCCAATTTCTGCACGGAATTAGTGCATCATGGGTACTTGGGATTTCAGTCCCCACTTTTCGCTTAGCTATTTACGTATTCAGGGCTTAGCCCACCTTTATTACGAAAAAAAAAAAAAATGCGCCACGTTTTCGTTTTCTGACCAAAGAACTTTTATTTTACTCAACGCTCCATATGCATTGATAGATGCCAGACATAATTTTAAAAAGATAGTAACGTTATTTATAACTTATAATACTGCATTTTGATATATATTATTAAAAATTAATCGTCTTTATATATCAAATAAAATAATAATTAATAATCAATATATATTAGGATAACTTGGTTCATTGGTTAAAAAAAATTTCATACCTAAAAAATATAAACCAAATTTCTAAAAATTTAAAAGTCTGACTAGTTCACGTTATTATATAAAGAATTTATTATTAAAAATTTATAAAAAATTTATCAAAATATAATGTATATTATTGACAAATATAATAAGTCAACTATAATATAAAATATAATAAATATTGAGTTTGATTTAATAATATAACATAAGTTATACCTGAAAATGCTTCTATAAAAACATTAGGGTTCTGTCTAGAGTTAGAAATAAGAGTTGGGTGTGTAGGCTTTATTTAAATAAAGGTTTGAATTTAAAAAATGAAAAGTTTTTAAGATAATTGAGCTTCTGGGCTTAACCCTGATAAATTCTAAAAAATGGACTCAGGCTCGGACGGTTCGTCAAGCATTATTATTATTTTTTCTTATAATCTATATAAAAATGATGTGTATAGAAAAAAATGTAAGGCTTAAACTTTTTTAATTTCTGATTTCTCGACTTTCACTTTCTCAACTTTTTTTGTTCAATCGAAACTCTCACTCTTTCAATTTAAAAATTAAAGATTTCGCAATTATTCATCTACTCTCTCGTCAGTCGTCACTTATTTTTGCCTTACTCAAAGTCAGTCGGCTCTCTCTCTCTCATCTGCTTGCCTTGTTGCCCCTCATATTTATTACATCTGCTCTCGCTCATACTTCTCACGATTTACTTTTCACTCTCAGTTGTTGTCTTGTCATAGGTGTTAGATAGTTGATACTTTAATTTTTGATTGTCTTGGATAAGTGTTCTGATTCTTATCAAGTTTAATCAAAATATTTTTTTTTTGTGCCAACTAAAGTAATTGCTTTAATTATTTTATATTTAATTTTAAAATATTTTAATTAAATTATAATATTAATTTTTTTTTAAGGTATCCAGGCTTGACCCGAAGCCCTAATAGCTAAATCTAAAGATTTGAGAGAATTTTGAAAAACTGAGCTTCAGGATCTAGGACCTAAGTTCTTAAGATGAGCTCGCCGTTTCCCAGCTCTTGCCCTGTCACGCAGCAGAAAATACTGTTTCTCGGCGCGAATGCGCTCCCCTTGCACAGTTAGGACATTACGCCTGTTGGAGCGCTCTCAGTAATTTTATATGCCTGGTTAGTGGTTACTCACAAAACGATTGGATCGATCGACTTCCATCTCTCCCACGCCATCTCTCTGAAGCGTAACATTTGGTATACTCTTACCCGATTATTTGTGCGCTCTAGCAGCTTCCTTTATCTAATCTCTAAATACTGTATTAGATCATTGATGTATTTTTTCTGTGATGAAGTAGTCAGTAGATGGAGCCAGTTTTTGGATTGGTTGAAGGTCGATGGGGTATTTCGTGTAATATGAATTTAATTTTCGATTGGAGAAATATTGGGCAGAAAAATGTATCGTAGTTTAATTTTACATAATTGAACTCTTTGTTGATGGCTGGGCATTTGATCAAGTGGTGTTCGAGCATAGACCCTCGGTTGTGTGTTGTGTCCGTGTCTGTCTTTTTTCTGGCTGGAGTTGTTTCACACTGAATCCTTCTAAGTTCAAACCCAGATCACGTCAGTTACTTCTCTTGTTTCTTTTCCAGTAATATTAGCCTTGTTTTTTTTTTTTTAACATTCCCCTTTTTTGCCTTCTTTGAAGTATCATTTTAATTTCTTCTTCAAATTATATCTCTCTTTGAATTTGTTTCTGTTTTTTCCCTTGATATTTGTGAATCCCACTTTTAAGTCAAATACTCACGAACTTTTCTACTTAAAATAATGTCAAATGTTCTTTAATTTGTTGATATATGAGTGTTATATAGTTATATCATTGTTAAGAGATAGAGGTAAAAATGAAAACACTTATTAGGATGTATTTAACTTGGTTGTACACCTAGTTTCAAGTAGCTGTTTATTCCATTGATATGGTTTAAATTTGTCCTTGTATACCCCAGAAATCAAGTTCTTGCGTTTCATTTTATAGCTATACAATCTGTATTCAGGAATATTAGTGGCTAATTAACATATGGTCTCCTTTTCTTTTTCTGTTTTGCCTTCCTTTATCTAGTGTAGCACCGTTTTCATACTAATGGCCAACAGAGTTCAAATTCCTTCAAGAAATTCCGCGCTTATTGCGATGATTGCAGATGAGGTAAGAATGCCACACTTGCTGCTCATGCTTCAGGGGGGTGTATCTTGTCGAGCATAAATGTTTGCTTATATCGGCATGGTCTTGAGACATTTCTGTGACTTATGAAGGGTTTAATTGTTCATGTGGCATTTTCTTCATTTGCACCTAGCTTCAGTGGTTGAGAAAGTGGGTTTTGAATAAAATCTCCTCAGGATCAAGTTATAGAATTTCCCAATACATCAGAAAACAGCGAGTCTTCAAAATCAATTTGTTGTATGATAGATGGCAATTGACAAATGCCAATGTGAGAAAATATCACTAAAACATATAAGCTCATTTTAGTTCGTGAACATTAATTTAGATAACCTTTTAATTTCTTTCAAGTATGCATGTTGATTGACTATATATAACAATGTTAAATCTTATGTTTTTTCAATTCTACGAATTTAACCCAGGACACTGTTGTTGGATTTTTGCTTGCTGGGGTGGGCAATGTTGACTTGCGTAGGAAGACAAACTACCTTATTGTGGACTCAAGTATGGCTCTGAAATTTGGATCTCTTTAAGTTGCTAAGTTCACTTAGGACAATGGAATGACTCCATTTTATCTCCATTATCATATTCACTCTCTCTCTCTCTCTCACACACACACACTCTCTCTCTCTCTCTCTCACACATCTGCCTGCACTGTACAATTCTTTAATGTGATTTGAAAGATGTCACAAGTTGGGGTGTACGCCCTCCTATGTTGATTCATGATAAATTTGTAGAAGATATTCTTGCACCTTTTGTTGCAATGCTGAATATCCCTTGAATAGCAATCCCTGGAAGTAAATGGTTGATAGGATGGAAACCAGGCAGTTTGCGGGAGATTGGATATTGCCATTGGCCTAATGGTGCCAGCTGCTCTTGTCATTTGTTTTAATTTCTTAACTATATGAGCCCTGTGCATTGTTCTGAATATGAAAAATGAGTTATATTATTCATGACTTATAAATGTGTAATTTGCTATAGATTTTATACTTTATATCGATATATTGATTTGAACATATGTTGATTATGCTCATGTTTCATATCTTGTGTTGTCTTTGTAGAAACCACTGTCAAACAAATAGAAGATGCATTCAAAGAGTTCACGACAAGGGAAGATATTGCAATTGTGCTGATTAGCCAATATGTAAGGTTTTTTTTATTTTTTTTGGTATACACGACTTTAACCCAATTATGGAAAAAAAAAAATTTGTTAAGGGTATCAAGCATATCATGTCGATCATATTGCTAGATGCCAAAGGTCTTGACCATATCATGGCCAAGAAAAAAGTCCTAACCGTATGGTGTATGGTTTGTCTCAGTAATATACTGATCTCATTCCATGTTTAGGAAACTCTGCCTAAATCATTCTTTTCCATATTATAGGTTTCCCCTTCTCTGCAATATATGATTATTTTGAGCCAAAGTTTCGGGCTCATTTAACATCGCAGATATTTTGCTCTTCGATTATGTGAAATTTTTGTATATATGATCTGGTACAATTAATATATGTCATGTCTGTCCTATGCAACTGACCACTGACTTCATTCATGACCATTGAATGGAGTTGTGTTTTCATGCAATCTAGCCTTGGAATTTCTTTATTATGATTTACAATGAATTTCTGTGTTCCGTACTCTTATGATTTTTGGCGTCAAATGGAAGATCTAATACTCTATTGTCAATTAACCAGGTTGCAAACATGATAAGGTTTTTAGTTGATAGCTACAACAAGCCTGTTCCTGCGATATTGGAGATTCCTTCTAAAGACCATCCTTATGATCCTGCACATGATTCAGTTCTTTCGCGAGTGAAGTATTTATTCTCTGCTGAATCTGTGGCATCTGGGAGACGTTAAGCATCTGTGTCTTCTGTTAGAAGCATTTTTTCCCCCCAAATGATTGTTTCAAACTCAGTAATTTTATGCATGTTCCTGTTTGCTGTACATGTTAAGACTTCACTCCATAATCCCGGGAGTAAATCCAGCTGATGGTGATTACTTGATCTTTTAATAAGCAAAATGGGTGGATGATCAATTCATTTTCTTTTCTTTTCTCTTTTTTAATGGTAATAGATCAATTCATTTTTTTCCGCCAGTCAATGCACTAGGACCGGGAGCTGTGCCAGTACAAATATTTATTTGAGGTTGTTCATTGCAATGAACGCACCTGTGCAAATGAACGCATGGGGAATTTTGTTTCCCTCCGTTTGCGAATTACCGACGAAATAACTGTCCCTTCGATATTCTGCACCCATATAAGTTTATGGCTTCTAAATGTGCCCTAATTTATAGATGATGGAGATATTTTAATTTTTAATGGAGGAGAGGAAAAGAGAGTTGAAAAGTAGGAAAAATGATAATAAATTTTTTTTGAATTATATGAATGACATTTCATAATTCTCTTGAAATTTTTAAAAATTTTTGTTATTAAAAAATTAATATAAGTAATTAAATTGTTTTTAGTTCAATATTTCAAATGCAAGTTTATGAATTATTGTTGCATTTTTGGGATTTTAAGCAAAAAAATTATAAATTTTAAAACGAAGCTTATAAATGACAATTGATATTTGTAATACAGAAATATTAAAATTTTAAATGAAAATTTATAAATTACTGTTAAATTTTTATAATTTTAAAAAAAATTGTGAATTTTAAAATATCTTGTGAATAACAATTGATATTGTGAATAACAATTGATATTTAAATTGAAAACAATTTAATTATTTATATTAATTTTTTAATGACAGAAAAATTCTTAAAAACTTCATTGATGTTATGACATTTTGAAAAATCAAATTCTCATTTATATAATTTAAAAAAAATTATTGTCATTTTTCTTTAAAACTAAATTGATTATCATGGGGTCATCAAATTTGAGTTGTTATCATTTTTACTCTCTCTCTCTCTCTCTCTCTTATTTTTGGCTTTTGAGGAAGAAAAGTAGTCATATTACAATTTATCAATTTCTTTTTTGCTTAATGTCAAAATTTATCATTTTTAAAATGTTAAAATTTTCGCCTTACATATAATACAAGTCTTGCATTGATTTAAATTTTTTATTACTGTTTTTTTTTTTGAAAAATTATTAGTCACGTAGCAGCCGTTTGTTCACGCTAACAGAGGGCAAATGAAATAAACTTACCAAAATTCATGTTACTGTCAAGGTACATTAAGATCTTAGCTATAGAGGCTAAATTATTGTCTCCAAGGTTGTTCGAAGAGATGGAACAAACACTAAAGGGAAACAAGCTGGGTAGTTCAGAAGGGTCTGGAGGATATGAATCTTATTCAAGCTCATCAACTCGTTTTCAAGGAAGTGCAGATTTTAACGACTTGGCGAAGTTTTCTAATTCTTTCAAACCATCCTTGGGAGATTTGGCCTCACCAAGCAACTTCACCATAGCACTGCCAACAATCACCCCATCAGCTCCCCATTCCGCTATCTGTATCAAATTACATGGTTTAGAATTAAAGTACAGCAACTGCACCAATATAGAAGCACCAAAAGTTACGGGCAAAGAACTGACCAGTTTCGCATGCTCTGGTTTTGATATGCCAAAACCAACTGCCACAGGCTTTGTTGTTGCCTGATAGGAAAATGAGGCAGTCAATGGTGTGCAGGCTAGTAAATATTCACCCAGTTTCATGGTGGCCAATTACCAAACATACATATGACCAATTGCCAGCACAAGCAAGTTGCCACCAAAGAGATGAGAGTGGCAAAGCAGGTTAAAAGAATGATAAGAATTTTTCAAAGTGTTCAGAAGACTTTCATAGCAAAACGTGGCTTCAGAAAAAGATTTTCACTTCAAATGAAAGACTTACAGACAAATATTAAGCAGGCAAACCTCTTTAATTTCACGCAAAAGAGCCTGAACCTTATCGCTTACTTCTGCTCGAGTTCCAGTGACCCCAACGGAACTCACCTATATTGCAGATCAAGAAATGGTCCATGAATCATGATATTTCATCAGCATAATATCGCCAAATAGATGCACATTTTCTGTTTTTACCATTTTTGTATCCTATTTTCAATATTTTGGGTCAAGAGGCAACTCGATATTGCTGCCAATCCGCTAAAGTGCAAACAGAAACAACTGATTAGACAGAATGCAAAAGCCAAAAGAACATTATCATAGGTTTCTTGATATCGGTGATGCAGTTTTCCCACTTCTGATGGCCACAAATTGACCCACCAACCCTCATTCTTATGCTTATTTTTTAACTAATCGAAACCAGGTGATTCTTTTGCATTGTCTTCCTCTTGAGGATAAATTCGATCATTCATTCTTTAAAAGCTACCAACAATAATACATCATTTGAATAGCAAATCCAAACTCATGGGCCAAGTTGCCCGCAATTTAAGGCCTAAGTTAAATGATCTTTCTCTAATAAACAAAAATAAGGCAAATTAACAGAGCAATTGAGGACAAGGCCTCAAAACATAAGACCATAGATAAAGCACCTGATTACCTAACTTTTGACCTATGCATGCATAAAAGTAATAAGTACATCTAATAAAAGACGTGTTAAAATCTAATAGCAAAGGAATTTGAATTTCATTCTGTTATGTCCTTGAGTTTGTTGATTATGAAAAATTCAATTTAAGCGGGGCAGGGAGGACTCAGCAGGTGCAAAGTTATAGCAATTAGGGGAGAAACGGGGGAAAAAGGAGCTATCACGGTTGAAAGATGAAACAGATTCTTACAAGATAAATAAATCCCTCTGAAGCTTCAACAATGGCTTTCATCCGGCTTATTGGAGTAGTGGGCGTTGTTAGGAGTACCTTAATCACATCAGAGAAACATATTTTTAAACAACACCATTGACTAACAGATTAAACAAATACATTATACAACAACAACAACAAGCCTTTATCCCACTAGGTGGGGTCGGCTACATGGATTGCAAGACGCCATTGTGTTCTATCATTTATTAAGCTTTTAGAAATATTATTAATTAAGAGATCACGTTCAACAACTTCCAAGAGTGTTCTCTTAGGCCTTCCTCTACCTCTCTTAATCGGACTCAAAGTTATATGTTCCACTCTTCTCACTGGTGCCTCCCTTGGTCTTCTTTGTACATGCCCAAACCATCTCAACCGATTTTCTACCATTTTTTCCTCAATAGGTGCCACCCTCACTTTTTCACGTATGTGCTCGTTTCGAATTTTATCTTTACGTGTATGTCCGCACATCCATCGTAACATTCTCATCTCTGCTACTCCAACTTTATGCTCTTGCTGTCCCGTTAGAGCCCAGCATTCACTACTATATAACATTGCCGGTCTGATAGCAGTACGATAAAACTTTCCTTTAAGTTTATTAGGCACCTTACGGTCACAAATAACTCCTTTAGCTTTTCTCCAATTAAACCACCCAGCTTGAATTCTATGTAAAATATCTCCACTGATTTCGCCATCATTTTGAATAATGGCTCCCAAATATCTAAACTTTTCCACTTGAGGTATAATTTGATCTCCCAATTTCACTTCCAAATTATTTTCGAATAGTCCTTTATCAAATTTACAATATAAATATTCCGTCTTACTTCTACTCAGACGAAAACCTTTCGACTCCAATGTCCTCCTCCATAACTCAAGTTTGCAATTAACCTCTTCTCTTGTCTCTGCTATAAGAACTATATCATCCGCGAAGAGCATACATTTCGGGATTTCCTCTTGAATATGTTCCGTCAAAACATTTAAAATCAAGTTGAACAAATAAGGACTCAGAGATGATCCCTGATGTAGTCCAATCTTTATAGGAAAATCCTTTGTTTGACCACTAGGCGTTCTTATACTAGTTTTTACCCCCTTATACGTATCTTGTATGGCTTTAATATAAGCAATCCGTACTCCCTTTTTTTCCAACGCTTTCCAAAGCACTTTTCTTGGTATACGGTCATAAGCTTTTTCCAAATCAATAAAAACCATGTGTAGATCTTTATCTTTACAACGATACTTTTCCATTAATCCCCTTAGTAGATAAATCGCCTCTGTAGTTGATCTACCTGGCATAAAACCAAATTGATTCTCAGAAATACTTGTCTCCAATCTCAACCTGTGCTCAATTACTTTCTCCCACAATTTCATTGTGTGGCTCATGAGTTTAATCCCTCTATAGTTAGTACAATTCTGAATATCTCCTTTATTTTTATAAATAGGAATTAATGTACTTCTCCTCCACTCATCAGGCATTTTCTTGGACCGTAAAATCACATTAAATAACTTAGTTAACCATCTCACCCCTTCTTCACCTAAACATTTCCACGCTTCGATAGATATACAATCAGGTCCGTTAGCTCTACCATTTGCCATTTTTTTAAGAGCTTCCTTTACCTCCTTATCACGTATTTTTCGATAGAATGACAAATTTTGTTCTCCTTCACCAGTTACTAAATCCTCCAAGTTACTAGATGAATCCTCTCCATCATTGAAAAGTTTAGAAAAATAAGTCTCCCATCTATTTTTAATTTCATCATCTGTAACTAAAATTCTTCCCTCTTCATCCTTAATACACCTTACCTGTTCTAGATCTCTTGATTTTCTTTCCCTACTCTTGGCAATCTTATAAATATTTTGCTCTCCTTCCTTCGTCTCAAGGTTCTTATAAAATTCTTCAAAAGCTTTAGAACGAGCTTCACCCACAGCTCTCTTAGTTTCCTTCTTAGCCATACGGTACCTCTCCCAATTTTCCTCATTGTTACACAAATGTATGGCTTTAAAACAGTTCTTCTTATACTTGATTTTGTCCTGTACACTATTATTCCACCACCAAGACTCCTTATCTCTTGGACCAGAACCTTTCGATTCTCCCAAAACTACTTTTGCAACCTCCCGTATCTTTTTAGCCATATCCTCCCATATGATGTTAGCACTTCCCTGAGAATCCCAAATTCCTTCATCCAAAAGATTTCTCTTGAAAATATCTTGCTTCTCACCTTTTAATTGCCACCACCTAATCCTTGGTGTTACTACTTGTCGACGTTTTTGGATTTTACTCATAATACACACATCAAGGACTAGGACCCTATGTTGTGTCG